CAAAAAAAAAGGACAAACTAACAAACAAAAAATTATAAAAAGGTTTGCTATTCCAATTGTGTAAAACAATGCATATGTGCATATAAATATTTATATACATGTATTCTACTTACATCGTCAGTTCCAGGAGCTTTTCCTAGCAAGTCTTCTTCCTGAATACTGGAGAATGTCTTATCTCCTTCAACCAAGTTTACATTGTTTTCATCTTCATTTTGTTCCTATTCATGAAAAAACCATTGATTTAACAAATTGTTATATATAGAGCTTCAATTTAGGGATTCTTCAAATAAGCGTATTTGAGGGACACCCTTATAGGTCTCACAGCACATTGTTTTTCAATAATTAAGCTGTCTAATTTTTAGATATTCCCTCAAAGATCATCTCTGCAAAGAATCACTTGAATCCGAAACCAATATTTGACCACTGAATTAGATGATTGTTATTTTAGTATTTTCTTGAAGAACTGTGTTTGTATATTTTGTTGCTTGCAATTAGATGCCTTAATGATTTTCAATTCGTCAGATTTTTTGCTTGTATTATCTATAAATGAAGACATGAGAATAGACGGTTTGGATCGTTGAAAGAAAATTCATAGGGTACCCTGAAGGGTGTCCCTCAAATAATTTGAGGAACTCTTCAATCAATATATATATATATAGTCCTCTTCTATTAAGGGATCCCTCAAATAACCCTTTAGGGTCCCTTACAAATTTTTTTTCAAGGATCCAAAGTATCTATTTTTTAAGTCTATATTCATAGATCATCTTTGCAAAAAATTAGACAAATCGAAAACCGTTTCGACATCCAATTGTGTCCTACAAAATCAATGAACACGGTGCTTAAAGAAAGTACTAAAATTTCAGTAACTCAATTGAGTGGTCAAATGATATTGGATTCAAATGAATTTTTGTAGAGATGATATTTGAATGATTATCTAAAAAATAGACCGTTTGGATTAGTGAAATACAATGCGGAGTGGGTCCTACAAGAGTGTCCCTCAAATATATTTGAGGGATCGCTCAAATTGACAAGAATATATATATATATATATATATATTCTTGTCAATTCCAGTATGTATTTGACTTACTGTAACATCGTCAGTTCTATTAATATGTCCTTGAATCCTTTCTTCTTCTTGAGTACTGGAGACTGTCTCAACTCCAAGCAACTTTGCAGTGTTTTCAACTTCATTTAGTCCCTATTGTATGAAAAAACAATTGCATTAACAAACGGTCCCTATTATACTTGAAAAGGAAAAAGCTCATTTCGTCCCTATTATACTTGAAAAGGAAAAAGCTTTTGCCAGTCAAATTGAATAAGACAATAAATATATATATACGTGTGTGTGTTGTGTGTTCCACTCACTGTAACTTCGTTATAAGTTTCAGAAATTTTTCCTTGAAGTCTTTCTACTTCTGGAGTACCGGAGATTGTGTCATTTTGTTCAAGCATCAGTTCATTGCTTTGAGCTTCATTTAGTCCCTATAGTATGATAAACAATTGCATTAATAAGTTAATAGATATATATAAATGTACGTTTATATATATATATATATACCGAGCTTTGCAAGTCATGCACCCCATGTTCTTCTTCAACATTGGTGAGGACATTTTCTTCGGGTCTTCTCACTTGACGTTCTAGTTCCTTTTTTGTTATTTTGAGGATTTCACGAATATTTGAGGCAGGAGCTCTTTTGTAACTTTCTAATATGGATTGCCATTCATCTATATTTTTCCCATACAAAAGTGAACCCATAGATGTGAGGGCTAATGGATTCCCTTGAGCATAGCCTACGAAACCATTTGCGAGTTCTTGATAATCATCCGGAAGTCTACTTGTTGGGAAGGCATTAGAACTGAAGAGCTCCAAAGCTTCATCAGATTCTAACTCCTTCACTTGGTATGTGAAGTCAACTCTATGAACAAGCAGCAAATGCTCAACCCTTGTTGTTATGATAATTCTACTGCCCAAACCAAACCAATCAGAGCTTCCAGCTAAATATTTTAACTGGTCCAAATGATCCACATCATCAAGAATTAGGAGAACCCTTTTGTAGCGCAACCTACCCTTGATGATATTCAGTCCTGAATCATAATTTGTTACATTCGACATTTTCAGGCCTAAAATGTTACGAAGAAGAATCTTTTGTAGTTGAACTAAGCCTCCTGGTGCCTTTGAATGTTCTCTAACATTTTCCAAAAAGCAGGATCCTTCAAACTTATGAGCAACTGAATTATAAACAGCTTTAGCAAGTGTTGTCTTACCCATTCCACCAATCCCCCATATACCTATTGTGCGAACATCAGCTACTCCAACACTTAAAAGATCATTTATTTCTCGTATGCGAGAGTCTATCTCAACTGGATAGTTCGTCTCATATGTCAAATAGGCACGGTTTAATTTTTGTGAAATCATTTCAGTGATTTCATGAATAAATTTGGATTCACGCCTGCAGTTTAAAAACATGTTAATCGATACATGAAATAGAATTGTACTATATATAAAAATGTTACACCAAACCAAAGTGCTGCAATGGCTAATTATCAACCTTTTTTTTGTTACATTTTTTTTTTCAGACTCGGGAAATATTATTATTTAAATTCCATTGTTAAACAATACGGTGTCAACTCTAGATAACCCCCAAACTTTAGGGGTATTTTTCAAATTCATACAGGAACATGTAATTATTTATAAGAATTATTTACATTAACATTTTCTGGGGTTTTCGTTGTTTTCACAAAACTTCTAAACTTTTGAAAATTACACGAACACTGCATGAGGTTTTAAATTGTTTTCACAAAACTCATTTTCATTGATTTTTCATCCAAATATTAATGATTTTATATAAATAGTTTCTCCAAATGACAAAGTTAGTCTTCAAGATCAGATTGCACGTTCTAACAAAAAAAACTTAAATTGCACATGCATTCATTGAGGCTAACTTTGTCATTTGCATTAGTTTTTTTTTAGTGAATTCATCAATTTTTTGACGAACAAACAAAGAAAAGTGGATGAAAAGAAAAAAGAAAAATAAAATGAAAAGGGGATTTGTGGAAACAATTTAAAACATCATGGGGGTGTTGTAATTTCCAGAACCTCAGGGGGTTTTGTGAAGAAAAAAAACTAAAAAGCTTAGGGGATTTTAGTGTAAATAAATCCTATTTATAAACGTATACACAAACTCAGTGTCGGCCCTGGACATGAGCGAGAAGGGCAACTGCCCACTCTCCAGGGGGGCCATCTTTTGAAAAAAAAAACTATTTAGGGTATACTAGTGATTTGCCCCTTGAACTTGTATCTAACTTTCGATTTACCCCTATCCTTTTTTTTTTAGAAAATTATGGATATGAACTTTTTTTTTCCTCCAATTTCCCCCCTACCGTCTAAATCCGCAACATTTCAGCCAATCTACCGTTAAATATGAGGGTAAAATGGTCATTTTGTAAATTAAAAATAAATAAAATAAGGAAAACCCAAGAAAATGATTAACCTCACATTATCCAAGATCAATAAAAAGCTTGAGCAGGACCCCTTTGTAGCTTTTAGTTTAGGAAATTGAAATTTGAAGCCCATCTCTCTCTCTCTCTCTATGTGTGTGTGTGAGAATCACGGGCATTGATGGAAAAAGAGGTTTTCTTGTTGTAAGACTTTGAAACTTCAATTTCTGTTTAATGGGTTTGGGGTTTGGAGGACTAGTTCATGTAGTAGTGGAAATTTAGCTAGAAAGCTTTCACCTTGGGTTAGAAACGGAAGGGGCATGAGCCAGGTTCGTTGGATGGGAATGCAAGGATTATGCATCGGGTTGTGGGGCATAAAGGTGGGCTCTTGATGGATCAGGATACTGTGTATGGTGTGAGTGGTGCAGGAATTGCAGCAGGTGCATGCAGTTTTTGGTTTTGCAGCAGGTGCAGGAATTGAGAGCTGAAGTTGGGCAGTTGGAAGAGAAAATTGTGAAATTGCCGCAAGAGCTTTTCGGTTCAGTGTCTCGAGATTTGTTTGATCTAGTGAATAGAGTTAGACAAATAGGAGAGGAGAGTTCGAAGCCAATGGATTTGCTACCGGACAAGACGCTAGCAGATGATATTTTGGTCAGGGATAATGATTTGGCACATTGGAGTGATCACCATCACGAACATTTATATGGCGGAAAAAGGAGGAGGAAGGGGAGGGGAGGGAGGAGACGGAAGGGGAAGGAGGAGATAGATCAGAGGGGGAGGGTGGGGGAGGAGGAAGGGGAAGGAGGACTGGGTTCTTCAGGTTGGGGGGGGGGGG